AAAAAAAAAAAAAAAAAAGAAGGATGATGAGCATTTTTTCATGTGTTTGTAGGCCATGTGCCTGTCTTCATCAGAGAAGTTTCTGTTCAAGTCTCTTGCCCACACAGAAATAGGGTTGTTTGTTCTTTTCTTATTGATCAGTTTGAGTTCTCTGTAGATTCTAGTTATCAGACCTTTGTTAGAAGCATAACGTATAAAAATCTTCTCCCATTCTGAAGGTTGTCTGTTTACTTTACGTACTGTGTTCTTGGCTGTGCAGAAGCTTTTTAGTTTGATCAGATCCCAATAATGTATTTTTGGTGTTGCTTCAATTGCCTGGGGGGTCCTCCTTATAAAATATTCTCCCAGGCCAATTACTTCAAGTGTTTTCCCTGCACTGTCTTCTAGTATTTTTTTTTTCTTTTTTTGTGAGAGGAGCCTCAAGCTGTCCCCCTGGGTAGAGGGCATCACAGCTCACAGCAACCTCCAACTCCTGGGCTCAAGCGAATCTCCTGTCTCAGCCTCCTGAGTAGCTGGGACCACAGGTGCCCGCTACAATGCCCAGCTATTTTTGGTTGCAGCTGGCATTGTTGTTTGGCGGGCTCTGGCTAGATTCAAACCTGCCACCTTGAGTGTACACGCCTTAGCCACTTGAGCCACAGGTGCCAAGCCTCTTCTAGTATTTTTATAGTTCATGTCTTAAGTTTAAATCTTTTATCCAGTGAGAATCAATTTTTGTTAATGGTGAAAAGTGGGGGTCCAGTTTCAGTCTTCTACAAGTCGCCATCTAGTTTACCCAGCACCATTTGTTAAATAGGGAGTCTTTCCACCACTGAATGTTTTTGATCGGCTTATCAAAGATCAAATAACAGTAAGTAGGTGGGTTCATCTCTTGGTTCTCTATTCTGTTCCATAAATCTACCTCTCTGTTTTTATGCCAGTACCATGATGTTTTGATCACTATTGATTTATAGTATAGCTTGAAGTCTGGTAACATGATATCTCCTGATTTGTTTTTATTTCTAAGTAATGTATTGGCTATTTGAGGTTTTTCTGAAACAAAGCACTATTTTTTCAAGCTCTTTAAGTATGATGATGGTGCTTTAATAGGGATTGCATTAAATCTGTAGATTGCTTTGGGTAGTATGGACATTTTAACAATGTTGATTCTTCCCAGCCATGAGCATGGTATGTTTTTCCATTTCTTAACATCTTCAGCTATTTCTTTTCTCAGAGTTTCATAGTTCTCTTTATACAGATCTTTCATGTCCTTTGTTAGATAACTTCCCAGATATTTCATCTTCTTTGGCACTAATGTAAAAGGAATAGAGCCCTTGACTATATTTTCAGCCTATCATTGGCATATATAAAAACTGCTAATTTGTAAGTCTTGATTTTGTATCCAGAGATGCTGCGTATTCCTTGATCACTTCAAAGAGTTTTGTAGTTGAGTCCCTGGGATTTTCCAGGTATAGAATCATGTCATCAGCAAAGAGTGAGAGTTTGATCTCCTCTGAGCTTACTTGGATACCCTTGATCACCTTTTCTTGCCTGATTGTAATGGCTAAGACTTCCATTACTATGTTGAATAGCAGTGGAGACAATGGGCATCCTTGCCTAGTTCCTGATCTGAGTGGAAATGTTTTCAATTTTACTCCATTCAATACCATATTGCCTGTGGGTTTGCTGTAGTTGGCCTCTATCAGTTTAAGAAATGTCCCTTCTATGCCTGTTTTCTTAAGTGTTCTGATCATGAAAGGATGCTGGATATTATCAAAAGTTTTAGTTTTTGTGGTAAATGTAATTGAAGTAATTAAGTCTCTTCATGTCTTAATTTTTCCTTTCCTTCTTATTTTATAATCTCTTTGTTTTGCTTTTCTTATTGCCTTCCCTTCCCCCATCCCAATCTGATAGGTAGGTAAGGGAAGGGTGGTCAGGTGACCTGACAGCAGATATGTTTAGAGGATCTGAGAAACTTTTATTCCCCCTCATTATAAATTCTGGTTGTTTTTATAGCTCATTATGTTAAATGCTATGTAAATGTTAGTATGCAGGCCTAATATTTAAAATTATTTTTTATCAAATTTTAAATATAGTGCGTGGGTTTAGAGTGTATACTGAATGTTTTTTACCGTTTGAATGTTAATGGTCAGTATATTTCTCTGATCAATTTTTACAGCTGATGGGAAACGTTTGGCTTCAGTTGGAATAGATGATAGCCACAGTGTTGTGCTGTGGGACTGGAAGAAAGGAGAGAAACTTTCAATAGCAAGGTAGGGGAAATCTTGGTGTCACATTGGCAAAATGGTGGAATTACTTTCAACTTAAAAAATTTTAATTAAAATGATTAATGACTCTAGGAAGCCAAGGCAGGAGAATTGTTTGAGCTCAGCAAGACCATGTCTCTACTAAACATAGAAAAATTAGCTAGGAATTATGTGGTTGCCTGTAGTCATAGCTACTTGGGAGGCTGAGTCAGGGATCGCTTGAGCCGAAGAGTTTGAGGTTGCTGTGAGCTCTGGTGCCAACAGCACTCTTCCTAGGGCAACAGTGTGAGACTCTGTCTCAAAAGCAAATAAAATAAATAAATGAAACAATTCTGAAATCAAGCAAATATTAACATTTTTATGGCTGTCACCTTTATTTCCATTGAATAAGTAATCTAATCAAATGATTTCAGCATTCCTTTGTAGATATATCCCTTTGAACCTACTTTTTAATGTAACTATAATATGACATTTGAAATAGCTATTATTTAAAATCTCTATGTACAGGTAAAATGAATTCTGTATGAAGGCTATCATATAGCCATTGTAGAGCATGGTAAAATTTATATCACAAAGAAGTTATAGCTTATTTTTATTTTCTTATATTTTCATTTTCTACAATAAGCATGTATTAATTTTATGATAAAAAATATTAACAGTGCTTTAAAGGAGAAAATAGTTAATTGTGTTATGAAAGTTTTTTTTTAACCTATTCTTTAAATTGACATTAAAAGTACTTTAAAAATATAGATAAATGCTTTTTACAGAGTATATAGATAATGCCCAAATAAATGATAGCTTAGGAGGAACTTCATAGTTGGAAAGGGTATATTAAGCTTAACAGAGTATTATAAAAAGAATTTCTTTAACTCATGCCACAAATAGCATTCCCTGTGTGTAGTACTATAATAGGTATTCTGAGTGCTATAAAAAAGTTCAGTTTTTACTGTTCCTGTCTTTTTACATTTTGTTAAATGGTTAACATATTAAAACGATGAGAAAAGACCAAGTGTACAAATGCATGATTATCACAGTCCAAGTCTGAGAGACAAGTGGGAGAGAAATATTCAGTGAATGGAATAATCAAGATAGGGTATGGATTTAGCAAAATATTATTATAGGAAAGATGAATCTTCAGAGCTAACACATGTTGGTATTTGTTACAGAGGAAGTAAAGATAAGATTTTTGTTGTAAAGATGAACCCCTATGTGCCTGATAAACTAATTACAGCTGGAATTAAACACATGAAATTTTGGCGTAGAGCAGGTAAGGAAATGCTTCTTTTACTCCTTTGAAATTTAGGAAATTATTACTTTAAAAAGTATTTTAACAAGCCAGGCAGAGTGGCTCACACCTGTAATCTTAGCACTCTGGGAGGTGGAGGCGGGTAGATTGCTTGAGATCAGGAGTTTGAAACCAGCTTGAGCAAGAGTGAGACCTCCCCCATCTCTACTACAAATATAAAAAATTAGCTGGGCATTGCGGTGGGCACCTCTAGTATCAGGTACTTGGGAGACTGAGGCAAGAGAATTGCTTGAGCTCAAGAGTTTGAGGTTCCTATGAGCTATGATGATGCCATGGCACTCAACCTCAGGGAGACAGAGTTTCACTCTGTCTCAAAAAATAAATAAATAAAAAAGAGGCCAGGTACAATGGCTCTTGTAATCCTAGCACTCTGGGAGGCCCAGGCTGGTGGATTGTCATGAGCTCACAGGTTCGAGACCATCATGAGCAAGAGTGAGACCCTGTTTCTAAAAAAAATAGCTGAGTGTTGTGGTGGGTGTCTGTAGTCCCAGCTACTTGGGAGGCTGAGGCAAGAGAATCCGTTAAGCCCAAGAGTTTGAGGTTGCTGTGAGCTGTGACGTCACAGCACTCTACCAAGGAGACTTGGTAGAGACTCTGTCTTGAAAAAAAAAAAAGAAAAAAAGTAGTTTGACTAAGTGCAACATATCCTACACTGTATCACTGGAAGAGAAAAGGAACTTGATGAGAAAAATTGATGAAATCTGAATGAAGTCTGGAGTTCAGTTAATAGTAATGATTTAGACATATTTCTTACTTTGACAAGTGATCTATGGATATTACCATAAGATGTTAACAGTGGTGGAAACAAAATAAATTATTTTTGCATCTCACCTGGAAACTTAAGACTATCCAAAATTAATTAATTTTTTTTAAACAGGTGATTCACTATTATCTTGGTTTATTTTGAATAAACATAAGATTTATTTTATCACTGTTAATTAGCTGTTTATTCATGTTTATAAAAAGGATTTGATACGTGAAATCAATCAAGTGATGTCTAGACTGCTTTCTGTTGAATATGTGTTTTATATTCTAAACATAAAATGAAAAATTTTGTAAAAATTGTACAAACATGGAATATTATATTACTTTAGCAATTTATAACTATAAATTATAAATGTGAAAGAAGTTCATATTTTATTATTATTATTTTTTGATACAGAGTCTCAAGCTTTTGCTCTGGGTAGAGTACCATGGCGACATCATAGCTCCTAGCAACCTCCAGCTCTTGGTCTCAAGCAAAGCTCTTGCCTCAGTTTTTGTATTTTTAGTAGAGATAGTGTCTTGCTCTGGCTTAGGCTGGTCTCAAACCCAGGAGCTCAAGCAATCCACCCACCTCAGCCTCCTACGTGCTAGGATTACAAGTGTGAGCCACTGAGCCTAGCCAAGTTCATATTTTTTGTTTGTTTGTTTGAGACAGAGTCTCACTATGTCACCCTTGGTAGAGTGCTGTGGCATCACAACTCACAGCAACCTCAAACTCTTAGGCTTAAGTGATTCTCTTGCCTCAGACTCTCAAATAGCTGGGACTACCGGCGCCCGCCACAATGCCTGGCTATTTTTTGTTGCAGTTGACATTGTTGTTTAGCTGACCCAGGCCAAGCTTGAACTCGCCACCCATGGATGGCGGATGTGGCTGGCACTGTAACCACTATGCTACAGGTGCTGAGCCACAAAGTTCATATTTTAAAGTAGAAATTATTGTCTGTTTTTCAAATGGATGATAAATTACATCAGGGTAACATCAAAGTCTCAATAAATGTAAGCCTTTTAAAAAAATATGTAAATATAGAAAGAAGTCACACATTCATTAGAAAAGAATAAGTTTAGTGAAGGTATTTCTTAAATTTAAGTAACTTTGTACCATTAGTAGGAATGTAAGTTGATACCTCAACTTTGGAGAACAATGTGTCAGAAGTTGTTGCCTGTCTTACTTCTGTGTTTTCCTTTTTGCACATTACACTGTAAGCACTCGTAGGCATTCCTAGAGAGACTTTTGTACTTATATAGATGAGGCCCTTACAAGAGTGTATAAAGCTGCATTGTTTTCAGTAGTAAAACCTCGGAATCAACTTAAATGCCTATTAATAAGAAAATGGATAAACCGTGATATGTTTATATCATGCTGTATGGTTATAAAAATGAATTCTCTGGAGGTAAAAATCAACATGTATACCAAATCACTGGTGAATAAAGCAAGTTGCAAAAGAATGTATGCAGGATGGTATTTATAGAAAATTTAAAAACATGGAAAATAACATTCATATGTGTATTGCTTAAGAACCATAAATATGCCAGGGGTGGTGGCTGACCCCAGTAATACCAGCACTTGGGAGGCTGAGGCTGGTGGATTGCCTGAGCTCACAGTTTTGAGACCAGCCTGAGTGAGAGCGAGAGACCCTGTCTCTGAAAAGCAGCAGGATGTTGTGGCGGGCGCCTGTAGTCCCAGCTACTTGGGAGGCTGAGGCCAGAGAATCGCGTGAGCTCAAGAATTTGAGGTTGCTGTGAGCTATGACAGTACAGCACTCTACTGAGGTGATCAAGTGAGACTCTGTCTCAAAAAAAAAAAAACCATAAATACATGATAACATATGTATGAAGGCACACATAAGAATAATCATCATCACATCCAGAATAGTAGGGAGTGGAGAAGGGAAATAGGATCGGCATCACATTTCAGTTAGTTTGGTACTTTTGTGGGTTGGTAGTAAATGTACAGGCATTCACTGTATTTGTGTTTTTTAAAATACTTTTTTGTATTCTTAAATGTATCATAATAAAAAATTTGAGAAATATCTTCAAAAATGCTAAAGACTAATTAAAACTGACTTAATCCAAGTCTTTATCCAAAAAGATATGGCCTAAAAACAGTCAGGCAAAGTGTTGCCCAAATCACTGATTGAGATACCTACATTTTTCTTTTTAATTCTCCTTACTGTTGTAAGTCTTTCTATTCAAACAACAATAGAAAAAAATTGCTGCTTTGTAATTGCATGCGTTTTGAAAGTGGAACTTTTTGTAATGTTTTTGTGAACCAGGGGGAGGATTGATTGGAAGAAAAGGCTACATAGGCGCACTGGGAAAAAGTGACACAATGATGTGTGCAGTCTACGGATGGACTGAAGAGATGGCTTTCTCTGGAACATCCACAGGAGATGTGTGTATCTGGAGAGACATTTTTCTTGTAAAAACAGTTAAAGCACACGATGGGCCAGTGTTCAGTATGCATGCATTGGAAAAAGTAAGTAACTTAGAGATACTAAGTTAAACAATTTGATCGTGGAACATAGAGTGTTTTCAGAAGTTAAGGAACAGGGCTTTCTACTTGGCTGGGCCACCCAATAGTAGTCTGTGGGCTAGGAACATCCTGACCTTGTTTTGTCTCTTCAAATTCTTGAACAGAGAATGAACTAGGTCTGCTGTTTTTACAAAATGTTTAACTTAGTATTTATGAAGCCTTACTATGAGGCAAAAATTATGCTAAATGTTTATATATAATCATCATATCCTATCAAGTATCATTATTTCCTCTTTTTATTTATTTATATTTGGGAGGGGCATTCTCACTCAGTTGCCCTGGGGTTGAGTGCCATGGCATCACAACTCAGAGCAACCTCTAACTTTTGGGCTTAAGTGATCCTCTTGTCTCAGCCTCCCAAGTAGCTGAGGCTATAGGCTCCCACCACAACCCCTGGCTAGTTTTTCTATCTTTAGTAGAGATGGGGTCTTGCTTAGCTCAGGCTGGTCTCAAACTCCTGACAATCCACCCACCTTGGCTTTCCAGTGTGCTAGGATTACAGGTGTGAGCCACTACACTCAGTCTGTTTCTTCTTTATAAAGGTTAAAGTAATGAAGATTACAGGAAGATATATGTAATTTACTAATAGTGGTAGATCTAACTTACAGTTCCAAATTAGAAACTGTGTTTTTAAACTCCTATCCTAAAAATGTTTGGGTGTCACTATAAATATTATTACAGATTACATGTTGATATTTTTAAAACAGTAGAGTCTGGCGCGCTGGCTCCTACCAATAATCCCAGTGCTTTGGGAGGCTAAGATGGGAGGATTGCTTGAGTCCAAGACTCAAGGCTTGGGCAACATAGCTGTGAGACTCTGTCTCTAGAAAAAAAAAAAAAAAAAACAACTAGCCAGTCATGGTGGCTCACCTGTAGTTCTAGATACCTGTAGAGATGAGTAGGAGGGTCACTCATCCTCAGGTGTTAGAGGTTGCAGTAAGCCAGGATCATGTCATTGCACTTCAGCCTGGGTAGCAGAGCAAGACCCTGTCTCTAAAAAAATTAAAAATAAATAATTACATGGCATACAATGGATTCTTATGTCAATTTCTATTCCTTAAAAGCTATAATTTTTGGCTGTATTCATTCCTATACAGTTTTTCAATGTGAATAAGGTTATTAACTTGAACCTTTTATTTTTGTAGGGATTTGTAACTGGAGGAAAAGATGGTGTAGTGGCTCTTTGGGATGACTCCTTTGAACGATGTCTCAAGACCTATGCTATAAAAAGAGCTGCTTTGGCCCCAGGATCTAAAGGTGATTTGAGATTTAGTTTATTCTGTAGGAAAAAAATTAATTGTTCCTTCATGTGGTTGATCACTGAGGTAGAACACATGGAATATATTTTTCCTTCTTTACTTAATGGGTATCACTTAAATGATCAACATCATTGCTGTCCTTTCAAAAATCTATTTTCTGTGATACACACGGTAAAATATTAGGCAAGTATAGCATTATTAATGCTATTTTTTAGCTTTATTCAAATTAATATGAGGGTACAATATTTAGGTTACATTGTTCTCACTTCCAGGGTAAAGTTCCATTTGTAGAAGAGCCCCTCACCCAGGGGGCCTGTTATACACCCTCACAAGGTGAGATCCTGCCTTATGCCCTCCCTCCTTCATACGTCCTCCCCTGACCCCACTTCCTTCTATCCCCCAACAGGACCATAATAGTGTTTTATTGTTCTTAGGAGCATGTAATTGTTTATATATTGGTTTCATATTAGTATGGAGTACATTGGATATTTGTCTTTCCATTTTTGCAATACTTTACTGAGAAGAATGTATTTTAACTCCATCCAGGTAAATGTTAAAGATGTAAAGTCTCCATCTTTTCTAATTGCTGCATAATATTCCATGGTATACATATACCACAGTTTGTTGATCCGTTTATGGGTTGATAGGCACTTAGATTACTTCCACGACTTGGCAATTATGAATTGAGCCACAAAAAACATTCTAGTGCAAATGTCTTTGTGGTAAAATGATTTATATTCTTTTGGGTAGATACCTAGTAATGGGATTGCAGGGTCAAAAGGAAAGTCATATAGATCTTTGAGGATTCTCCATACTTCTCTCCAAAAGGGCTATATTAGTTTGCAGTCCCACCAGCAGTATAGAAGTGTTCCCTTCTCTCCACATCCACGCCAGCATCTGGTGTTTTGGGACTTTGTGATGTGGGCTAATATTGCTAGGGTTAGGTGATACCTTAGAGTGGTCTTTTTTTTTTTTTTTTTTTTTTGAGACAGCCTCAAGCTGTCCCCTGGGTAGAGTGCTGTGGCATTACAGCTCACAGCAACCTCCAACTCTGGGCTCAAGCGAGTCTCCTGCCTCTGCCTCCCAAGTAGCTGGGACCACAGGTGCCCGCCACAACGCCTGGCCATTTTTTGGTTGCAGCCATCATTATTGTTTGGCGGGCCCGGGCTGGGTTTGAACCCGCCACCTTAGGTGTACGTGGCTGGCACCTTAGCCACTTGAGCCACAGGCGCGAGCCTAGAGTGGTTTTGATTTACATTTCTCTGATGATTAAAGATGATGAGAATTTTTTCATGTGTTTGTTGGCCATTTGTCATCCTCAGAGAAGTTTCTGTTCAAATCACTTGCTCACTTATAGGGAGGGTTGTTTGTACCTCTCTTATTTTTAATTTGAGTTCTGTGTAGATTCTTGTCAGGCCTTTGTCAGATCCATAACATGGAAAAATCTTCTCCCATTCTGAGGGCTGTCTGTTTGATTTGTTTGTGGTACTCTTAGCTGTGCAAAAGCTTTTTAGTTTGATCAAGTCCCAGTTATTTATTTTTGGTGTTGCTGCAATTGCTACAGGGGTCTTCCTCATAAAGTTTTTTCCCAGGCCAGTATCTTTAAGTGCTTTTCCCATACTCTCTTCTAGAATTTTTATTGTTTTGTGTCTTAAATTTAAAACTTTAATCCAACAAGAATCAATTTTTGTCAATAGTGAGAGGTGCAGGTCCAGTTTCAGTCTTCTGCATGTGGATAACAAATTCTGCCAGCACCATTTGTTAAATAAGGATTCTTTTCCCCATTGCATGTTTTTGTTAGGATTATCAAGGATTAAATGACAATATGTGGCTGGGTTCATCTCTAGATTCTCTATCCTATTCCATAGATCTGTGTTGCTATTTTTGTGCCAGTACCATGCTATTTTGATCACTGTAGCCTTGCAATATAACCTGAAGTCTGGCAACGTAATGCCTCTAGAGTTGTTTTTATTTCTAAGAACTGTGTTTGCTGTTCTGGGTTGTTTCTGGTTCCATATGAATTGAAGTACTAGTTTTTCAAGATCTTTAAAGTATGACCTTGGTACTTTGATGGGGATTGCATTAAATCTATAGATTGCTTTGGGTAGTATGGACATTTTAACAGTGTTGATTCTTCTCAGCCATGAGCGTGGTATGTTCTTCCATTTGTTGACTTCTTCTACTATTTCCTTTCTCAAAATTTTGTAATTTTCTTTATAGAGCTCTTTCACATCTTTTGTTAGATATATTCCCAAGTATTTCATCATCTTTGGTGCTATTGTGACAGGAATAGAGTCTTTAATTTTGTACTCAGCTTGACAATTATTGGCATATATGAAGGTTACTGATGGAGGTATTGATTTTTAATCTGAGATGCTTCTATATTCCTTGATCACTTCTAAGAGCTTTGTAGTTAAGTCCCTGGGGTTTTCCAGATACAAGATCATGTCATCTGTGAAGAGGGAGAGTTTGACCTCCTCTGCCCCCATTTGGAATTCTTTGATCTCCTTCTCTTGCCTGATTGCAACGGGTAGGACTTGCAACACTATGTTAAATAGCAGTGGAGACAGTGGGCATCCTTGTCTGGTTCCAGATTTGAGTGGGCATGCTTTCAGTTTTACTCCATTCAATATAATATTGGCTGTGGGTTTGCTGTAGATAGCCTCTATCAGCTTAAGGAATAATCCTTCTAAGCCTATTTTCTTGAATGTTTTTATCATGAAAGGATGCTAGATATTGTCAATAGCCTTTTCTGCATCAATTGAAAGAATCATATGGTCTTTGTTCATTGTTTTTGATTTTGTTTATGTGGTGTATTATGTTTATAGATTTGCTTATGTTGAACCAATCCTGTGTCTCTGGGACAAAACCACTTGATCATAGTGTATAACCTTTTTAATGTGTTGTTGTATTCTGTTTGCTAATATCTTGTTGAATTTTTTGCATTGGTAACTTATTAATGATATTGGTCTATAGTTTGATTTTTTTGTTGGATCCTTTCCTTTGGAAAAGTTTGTGTAGTGTAGGAACTAGTTCCTCTTTGAAGGTTTGATAGAATTCTGGTGTGAAACCATCTGGTCCAGGGCTTTTCTTTTTTGAGAGATACTGTATAATTGTTGCTATTTCAGTACTTGATATTGGTCTATTCAAGATTTCTAAATATTTCTGGCTGAGCTTTGGAAGGTATGTTCTTCCAGATATCAGTCCATCTCCTCTTTCTTTCGTATTTCTGGGAATAGAGTTTTTTTTTTTTTTTTTTTTAATAATTTTGCAAGTTTATTTATTTATTTATTTCTGGCCAGGGCCAGGTTTGAACTTGCCATCTCTGGTTTGAGCCACAGGCGCTGCCCCAGGAATAGAGTTTTTTATAGTAATTGTTGAGAATCTTTTGTATTTCTGTGGCGCCTATTATTATTTCCCCTTTATCATTTCTTATTGTAGTTATAAGAGATCTTGTTTGTCTGTTTCTGGTTAGTCTAGCCAAGGGTTTATCAATTTTACTAATCCTGTCATTGAGTGCTATGGCTCAAGTCGCTAAGGTGCCAGCCACATACACCTAAGGTGGTGGGTTCAAATCCAGCCTGGGCCGCCAAACAACAATGACGGCTGCAACCAAAAAATAGCTGAGCGTTGTGGTGGGCACCTGTGGTCCCAACTACTTGGGAAGTTTAGGCAGGAGACTCATTTGAGCCCAGGAGTTGGACATTGCTATGAGCTGTGATGCCACAGCACTCTACCCAGGGGGACAGCTTGAGGCTCTGGCTCAAAAAAAACAAAAAACAAAAAACAAAAAACAAAGTTCAGCCACAAGTCAGAGTTGTTTAAGCATTGGCCGTGCCCATCCAATGGAGCTCAGAAGTTGTCCTCAAGGGCAGAGAACAGCTGCCTGAGAATTCCTGAGGAGCTGGAGATGGATAGTTCACCCTCAGCCCACTAAAGCTTGGACTGCTGTGCTACTATTCTGACGCTGCAGCTCAGCGGCTGGCAGACTTCCCCAGCTTCCCAGTGACCTCATTGGTCTTTCCAGCAATCCTGGGTGTTCAGGATTGCAGGAAAAGTATGTGGTCTTTTGTGCCAGACAATATGGGGCCCAGTCCCAATGGTGGGACCTCAATAATGAAGGAGGACTGGGTCTTAGCAACTGCTCTCCTGTGGGATAAGGTCAAGAGACTTTTGAACCCAGTTTGCTGGCTGACTGGTGGCCTACCACAGAGCTCCTGTTTGGAGAGAGGGGTCTCCTTTCCTTTGGGAGCTGGGCTCCTACCTGTTGTTTTTCTTCCACTTTCTTGTGTTCAGCCTAGGTGGTATGTATCTCATGCAGTCCTCTCAGTGCAGAGCTCCTCTCATTGGTTTCCATCCACTTCAGTCCAATATCTCTCCCTTTGGGCATAAGCCTCTGGCAAAAGCTGCTTCTAGTCAGCCATCTTCTCACAATTCCAGGAAGTAATTCTACTAATCCTAATTTTTAATATTTTTAATTTTCCAAAGAAAATTTTTGTATGAGCGTCACATTTATTACCAGTCAAGAACTTGTTTTCAATCTTGATATTTTGTTTCACTTTGGCATTTTGTTGATCTGCCTCCCTAGCCTTACAGGCCCTTCTTCCCTTTTTCCTTTCTTTGAGTGCATTTCTTCCTTTTAAGGCCCTGAACCACCAGGCATTTCTACATCTCATTACTTTTTCTTAGAAGTTTCCCTTTCTCATCCCTCTTATTCCCTCTTTATCTGACCACATGCTCATTTTTCAAATCTCAAACACTGTTTCTTCTATGTTTATTGCCTCTATCCTCACCTCCCCCCAGAAGGTTAAATTTCCTTGCTATATGCTCTTTTTTCAATATGCCCCTCACATAGGGTGTGTTTTCCTCATCGTGTGCTCTATGAGGGCAGGAGCTGGATCTGTCATGCTTGCTGATGTATCACTGAAGCCTGCCTAGGATATGTAGACATAAACAGATACAGCAGCTCTTTGTGTGTGGGTTCCACATGCTCAGATTCAATGAAAATATCCTAGGGAAAAAAGTAACCATGTGACAATAAAAAATAATACAAATTTAAAAATACAATATAATCATTATTAACATATAATTTACATCATACATTATTATAAGTAATCTAGAGACTAAACTACACAGGAGAAAATATGTAGGTTATATGCAAATATTATGTCATTTTATATAAAGGGACTTGAACGTCCAATGATTTTGGTATCTATGAGGGGTCCTAGAATCTATACCTTGCAAATACCAAAGGATAAATATATATTTAAGTTTGATCAAATTAAAATTACTAATCAGAATGTTATAAGTACTCTAAGAGGTACAGGAGTTGGATGTGGAGGAGCTAATAGAAGAGGTAAAGAAACACATAATTGTCAGAACAGTAGTAGGGGGATCTGATAGAGAAGAACCATACAATTGTGGTATATAGGTGGTGCTTATTTTGAGATTAGTATATTGGATGATTGCAGGAAATACAGTACATTTATTAGAATACTTAAAATATAGGAGAAGGTAACCTTATAAAATGTTTTTCACTGTCAGAATAGCATATTCGGCAGTATATACATCCTTGTATTAGAGTCACTTCATACCTAGAAGAATAACCCTATTCAACATTTCAGGTCTTCTCTTGGAAGATAATCCATCCATACGTGCCATATCATTAGGACATGGTCATATTTTAGTTGGCACAAAGAATGGTGAAATACTAGAAGTGGATAAAAGTGGCCCAATAACACTTCTGGTTCAGGTAATTTTAAATACTGATATATTTTTTTCCTTTGCATACAATTGATTCTTTTAATACATAAAAGAATTTTTGTATTCTTTAAATACAAAAAATTGACAGTGGTGAAAAATTTGGTTAAATTAATCGGGGAAATATGTGTTAATGTTAATATTTATAGAAAAAATTTTAATTTAGCTAAATGTCTAAGTATCAGTAAATATGCATATTTTCATATGGAATAATTGCCAATATTTTAAGTAATTTCTTATCACAAAATAAAAAGTCCAGTGGGGGGAAAATCACAATTTAATTCACTTAACCTAGTTTCTTTATTTCATTTGTATTTTAATTTTTTAAGTTTATTTTTTGAGCATAAGGCAGGTATTTTCCTCTGAAATCTCTTCTTAAATTTCTATCTTACAAAGATTTAAAAAATGAATGCATGAATGTATGCTAAAATCTTTTACTGAAAACATTTATTGATGAAAATATGTTAATAATAAAGCAAAAACCAGTGGGACGTGGTAGCCCACACCTATAATTGTAGCATTCTGGGAGGCTAAGGAGGGTGGATTGCTTGAGCTCAGGAGTTCCTGACAAGCCTAAGCAAAGGTAAGACTCTACCTCTACTAAAAATAGAAAAACTAAAAAAACTACCTGTGTGTTGTGTTAGGTACCTGTAGTCCCAGCTACTCAGGAATCTGAGGCAGAAGGGTCCCTTGAACCCAGGAGTTCAAGGTTGCTGTGAGCTGGGCTGATGCCATGATGCTCTAGCCTGGGGCAACTGAGTGAGACTCTGTCTCAAAAAAAAAAAAAAATTAAAAAATCCCCAAACTCAGAAATATAAAAATTTGTGTTAGAAATATAAAATTAGGGTGGTGCCTATGGCTCAGTGGGTAGGGCGCTGGCTCCATATACCGAGGGTGGTGGGTTCAAACTCGGCCCTGGACAAACTGCAACAAAAAAAGTGGCCGGGCATTGTGGCAGGCGCCTGTGGTCCCAGCTGCTCAGGAGGCTGAGGCAAGAGAATCGCCTAAGCCCAGAAGTTGGAGGTTGCTGTGAGCTGTGTGACACCGTGGCACTCTACTGAGGGCAATAAAGTGTGACTCTATCTCTACAATAAAAAAAAAAGAAATATAAAATTAAATAGCAGGGTAGCTTCTGGTCATATGATCCTTAATATTTCCATCAGAAATGGTGGATTAGATTTTTAGATGTACATTTCTTCTATGTAGTATGTTTTTCCGGAAAGTAGGTAGGGAAATTAATCAGTACTATTAAACATTAATGAAGTTTTACTATTCTGTCATCATCATTCTATCCTGATAAAAAATTATCTTCATGCAACTCTACATAGTAATGCTAAACTTTGGTTTTACCTTGAAAAAGAATTATTTTCATTCTTAAATACAGACGTTTTTCTCCTTCAAACCTCCTTCACTCCCTTTACAACACCAGCAAGTTTTAATGTTCATTCAGAGTGGCCATAAATTTGTGTACAATTTAAGTATAAATTGCAAAACATATAAAAAGAAAATATTAAAAATATAAAATATATTTAAATTGCACACAAACATTATGGCCACCCCATATGTATTTTGATGTATTGGGAATTTGTAAGCAGATGACAAAATGTTTATAATAGTGTCTTACTCTTTAGTTTCAGTTATATAGTATGCCTTTGAAGGAAAAAGATGGTGGAGTCATGGTGTTTAACATGTCTGTGATCTCCTGCAAAATGTTAACACAACTGCATTTTTATAGATGAATCCATAGATGAAATGATTAAAAAATGCAAACAATTTTATAATTGTAAAAAAATTAGAAGTTGGCTCGGTGCCTATAGCTCAGTGAGTAGGATACCAGCCACATACACCAAAAAAGCTGGCAGGTTTGAGCCCGGCCTGGGCCTGCTAAACAACAATGACAACTACAACCTACAACCAAAAAATAGCCAGGTGTTGTGGCAGGAACCTGTAGTCCCCCCTGCTTGGGAGGCTGAGGTAAGAGAATGGCTTAAGCCCAAGAGTTTGAGGTTGTTGTGAGTTGTGATGCCACGGCATTCTACCGAGGGTGACATAGTGAAACTCCATCTCAAAAAAAAAACAAACAAACTGGAAGTTATAAATAATATCTGTTAAGAGAAAAAACTTTAGACAAGATAAATATAGCTTAATTTATTTGAGTATTATTGGGCAGCACTCAGAACTGGAAGAGGTTTAGAGAGATTTGCAGCGTGCAGCATGGGTAGCAGGTTATTATAGGCTGAACTTGGAAGTAAGACAAAGAAAATATATTTGGTTGGTTAGAGTGGAAAGACCTTAATTAGAGGTTAGTTGGCAGTTTATGATCAGTAAGTCTCTAGTTCCTTTTTTCTATTTATATTGGGCTTTGGTTTGCTTATATAGGAACTTTAAAGTGCTGGGGGTCTTTCACCCTAATGGCTTCCCAGTTAAAAATTTTTTAACACATCTTATTATTTTTGATAGTTACTATAAGGTTTAAGGTTTCTAATGTCTTGGCCAGGCACAGTGGCTCACACCTGTAATACTAACACTCTGAGAGGCTGAGGTGGGTGGATTATTTGAGCTCAGGAGTTCCAGACTAGCCTGAGCAAGAGTAAGACCCCAACTCTACTGAACATGAGAAAACTGAGGCAAAGGATCACTTAAGTCCAAAAGTTTGAGGTTGTTGTGAACTAATGCCATGGGACCCTACTAAAGGTGACTAAGGGAGACTCCATCCCAAAAAAATATATAAATATTTCTCATGTCTTATTACCTCCATGACATAAGGAACAAGATAAGGATTCCAGAGCTCATTATGATTGTCTAACATTGTGTTGGAGGCTTTAGCTAATCCAATAAAATAAAACAATAAAAGATATACATATTAGAAATAAATAGACAACCGCCAGACATTATAATTCTACACCTTGACTATCAGGGAAACAAACTGAAAAATTATATTATTTTTTTGAGACAAAGTCTCAAGCTGTCACCCTGGTAGAGTGCTGTGGCATCACAGACCACAGCTACCTCAAACTCTTGGGCTTAAGCGATTCTCTTGCCTCAGCCTCCCAAGTATCTGGAACTATAGGCACCCTCCACAACACCTGGAGGTTGTACAAAGTCAATTATATTTCTACAGTCGACAACTGGGAGACAAAATGAAGAAAACAGCTCTATTTATAAAAACATAAAAAAATAGCTAAAAATAAATTTAACAAAATAAGTACAAGACTTGTACACTGAAAACTACAAAATATTATTGAAAAAAGGTAAAAAAAAAAATCTAAATAAATGGAGAGCTGTCCCATGTTCACCAATCGAAAGACTCACTATTGTTCAGATGGCACTACTCCCCAAACTGATTCACAGAATATTGCTGCTACTAGCACTTTGGTACATATTTCTTGAGTAAATGAGGTGCCCTCCACAACACCTATTTTTTGGTTGCAGTCATCATTATTGTTTGGCAGGCCCAGGCTGGATTCCAACCCGCCACCTCCAGTGTATGTGGCTGGAGCACTAGCTGCTGTGCTACAGGTACCGAGTCACAAACTGAAAAATTATTAGAATTAATTAAGGAGTCCTATAAAGTGATTGGGTACAAAATCGACATAAAAATCAATAACAATAACCAGTTAGAAAATATGGCATTAAAAATCTCATAATAAATACTATGCAATAACCGCAAATAATATAGCTAAAAATATGCAAGGTCTGTGTTAAGAAAACTGTAGGCTTTTACTAAAGCCATAGAAGAACTAAATAAATTCTAAATCAAATATGATCACAATCCAAATCTTAATGAAATTTTTTTATAAATTCTGGAAATCTTTTTAAAAAATTACCCATTTGAGAAAATATTCAAGAATAGTCAAGAAATTTGACAAATTCTTAATGCTAGAAATAAATTATTATAAAACCGCAGTAATTATAAGTATGGAAATGTGTATACTTCTCAGAGGTGTTTTCATACATTTACTCAAGAAATATGTACCACAGCATTAGTAGCAGCAAATTCTGTGAATCGGTTTGGGGAGTAGTGCCATCCGAACAATAGTGAGTCTTTCAATTGGTGAACATGGGACAGCTCTCCGTTTATTTAGATTTTTTTTTACCTTTTTTCAATATTTTATAGTTTTCAGTGTACAAGTCTTGTACTTATTTTGTTAAATTTACTTTTAGCTATTTTTTTATGTTTTTATAAATAGAGCTGTTTTCTTCCTTTTGTTTCCCAGTTGTCGATTGTAAAAATATGATCGATTTTGTACATTGACCTATATCCTGTGAACTTGCTGACTTCATTTATTAGTTCTAACAGTTTTATGGTGGATTCTTCAGGATTTTCTATATACAAGGTTATGTTGTCTGTTAACAGATATAGTTTTACTTTTTCCTGTCCAATCTGGATACTTGTTATTTCTTTTTCCTCTCCGATTAATGCTGGCTAGAAATTCCAGTACAGTGTTGAAGAAAAGTGGTAAGAGAAGAGACATCCTTGTCTTGTTCCTAATCTTGGAGGAAAAGTGCCTAAACTTCCACCATTTAGTAACTGTGGGTTTTTCATAGACAGGAAAAACTGCGGGTTTTTCCTAGGTTGAGGAATTACCCTTTTATTCAAAATTTGTTGAGTGTTTTTATTATAGGTGAGGAGAGATTATTTAGATGCTTTTTCTATGTCTATTGAGATGATCATGTGATTTTTGTTTTTCATTCTGATACAATGCACTGCATTAATTAATTTTTGTATGTTATGTCAACCTTGCATTCTTGGGATAAATTTCACTTGGTTGTGGTGTATGATTCTTTCTATACTAATTGGATTCAATTTGATAGTATTTTGTTGAGGATTTTAGTGTCCGTATTTATTAGGGATATTGGTCTATAGTTTTCTTGTGAAGTGTTTGTCTGGTTTTGGTATGAGGGTAATATTGGCTTCATAAGTATTCCCTCTTCTTTGTCTGTTCCCTGACTACACCCAGCTATTACACTCCTGTTATTGCTGGCTGATTGCTTTATTGTTTACAACATTTTCCAGGGGGATAAATTGCTCCACAGACTAAACCAGTCAAATTCAGGCTCCTTTGAAGGGCAAGTTCCCTCAGTGTTTGAGGTTTGTTCTGACTCCAAGCAACCTCCTTTTAGCTATTTCTGAGATTTCTCTGATTACCTTGGACAAACTAGCTGGTCTGCGGTTAAGCCTATTTGTCCAATGAGTCTACCAATCTCCCAATTACCTTCTATCACAACCTCCACTGTTTCTGAGAATACCCTTAGGCATGAGCATTTCTATACTCTGCTGCAAATGAAGTCTGTTCCTTTGAGAAAAAGATTTAGGAGCTATCTCTTTTTCTGGCTTTCCTATACTTCAGGCAAAATCTCTGAGCCACTGCTCTGGAGTTGAGAGTAAGGCCAATGAACACTTCTTCCTGAGTATCCCAGGCCTTAGGAGCTGAATGCTTGCTAAGGAGAGAGGGGATTGTCAGCTCAGGTGTTCCTGAGGTGCCATCAGGGCCCTATTATTCTCAATGGCACTGTACCCCAACATAGAGCCTCTGTCTGGAGGAGAAGCTGGGCAGAAGGGATCTCCTACCTGTCATCTGAGATTGCCAAGAATTTAGCCTCAGCAGCACACAGCTGGGAGCAGAAGGAGACATGCTGATATCCTGCCACTCTTGGGGAGATAGCCCACGTACTGGGACCTGGGGGCCATGTGTTCTTGGTCATATTAGTCTGGCCTGGAGGTTCCATCCAGATGAGGAGGCAAGAAGGGAGTAGATCTCAGTTTATTTTATTGTATTACTTATTTTTCTTGAGATAGTGTCTAGCTTTGTCAGCTGAGCTAGAGTACATTGGCATGATCATAGCTCACTGCAACATCAAACTCCTGCACTCAAGTAATCCTCCCACCTTGGCCTCCTGAGTAGCTGGGACTACAGGTATGTGCCACCACATTTGGCTAATATTTAATATTTTGTAGATATGGGGTCTCACTATGTTGCCCAGGCTGGTCTTGAATTCCTGGCCTCGAGCAATCCTCCTACCTCCCAAAATGCTAGAATTACAGCCATGAGCCACCACATTAGCCTGAACTTTATTTTTTTAATTAATTTATTTATTTTAGAGACAGAGTCTCACTTTGTTGCCCTGGGTAGAGTGCTGTGTCATCACAGCTCACAGCAACCTCCAGCTCTTGGGCTTAGGCATAGGTGCCTGCCACAACGCCCGGCTATTTTTTTATTGCAGTTTGGGCAGGGCTGCAAACCCACCACCCTTGGTATATGGGGCCAGCGCCCTACCACTGAGCCATAGACTTATGTTTCTACTAAATGTTAGTAGATTTTTCTTCACTAAATTTTCCTTCATTTGTTGTATGTCCTTGGAACTATTTCCAGAGACTTTAAATAGTTTTGTTTGTTTTAAATTTTTAATTTCTTAATGAGGCCTGTGGAGCTTTATACTCTTATCATGCAGGAGCTTTATACTCATATCATATTAAATGCCTACTGTGTGGCAATTATTAACATTTGACCTTTCCACACAGAATGTTTTAAGATTGTAAGTTAATTTTAATACTAACTTGATAATTTTGTAATTGTGAAGACAGAGGTATTTTATGGTGCATTTGAAAAATAAAAGTCTCATTAAGACTTATTCTCTCCATTGTCATATATTATTGAATATTATCTTCAGTTTTATTCTAAAGTATACTATTTATATGTATCTTTAGGTTAAATTGATCTTGACTATGTTTTCTAGGGACACATGGAAGGAGAGGTGTGGGGTTTGGCTACACATCCTTATCTGCCCATCTGTGCTACTGTAAGTGATGATAAAACCTTAAGAATATGGGATCTCTCTCCTAGTCACTGTATGTTGGCTGTCCGGAAGCTGAAAAAGGGTAAGAGGCTCTCAGACTTGAACATAGTTTAAGTTATCACAATTTTCTAACCCTTACAGATAATAAGAAAGCAATAAAAAGCATGTTAAAAAAGACTTTAAATATTTTAAAATATTTATTAAATGTCTACTTGCTCATGGTGCTACATAAAGAAAATTCATTGTGCCCAGTCTTTGTCTTGTAGGACCTCCTATGATGATGCCTAAACTGAGCGAATTTCCAGTGACATGTTGGAAGGAAGAGTATAGGAAGTAAACGGTGCTATATTTTTCTTTGTGATTGTGGCATATGTATAATTTGGAACTGGAAACTGAGAAGGCCTTAACTTAAAAAGGGGTAACAGAGTTGAGGGAAGGCTATTATTTTAGGATGAAACAAAACTGGGTACATTAGTAGGAGGCAAATGAGGCTGGCGGTGTAGAGGGACAAGGAATTCAGTTGTTGGATTGGTGCTATTACTGTTAATCTAGGGTAGATGATTATACAGGAGCTTTGAATTTCTTAGTAAAGTGGCAGAGAATGTTATCTAATGGAGTGGGTATATTATATTCAACTATTTCAACCTCTAGTTGAAAAAGTTGTGAATAGCTACTGTAAGAAATGTGACAAAGTCGACAGATGAAGGAAAGGATTGTCTAGCCACAGGAAAAGCCAAGTTGACCATCATCTTCATAACACTTGAGAGAAGTAAGAAAATAGAAAGGAATACTTTATATAAGCCATTCTCAATTAAAACATTTTGTTCTTGTACCTTTAGGGAAGATGTGGCTTTTTTACTTGATTTTCTGCCCCCATTTTATTTTTGATAACTGGAATTTTTCTGTTTTTTGTTTAGCTCAGCTGTGCATTTAAAGGGCTAATTTATTATGTTGAGTTGTTTAAACTCAACTTTCTACTTACTCTACGCCTGTACCAAACCAGCAGAATAAGGGTTGAATAAAATAGCAGCCGTGATGATTGATCTAATTACTATTGTTTCTCTGCTCCCTTTTGTAACAGAACTTCTCAAAATAACTGAGTCTCACTTCTCTGTGTTCACTTGACAGTTACTCTATAACTCACTCCCATTAGCTTTTTATCTTTCTTTGTCCATTGAACCTGCTGTCAATTTCTTCGTCAGTTCTTGGTTCTCATCTCCCCTCACAGCAGTTTTCGACACAAGTGCTTGTTCCTTCTTTTCTGAAATACTTTCTTCACTTGTCTCTGCAACCCATACATACCTGTTTTTTCTCTACTTCACTGGCTCCTTTTTTTTCTGTTTCCTTTGCTGGCTTTGCCTTTTCTTCCTGCTCTCTACATTTGGGAATGCTCCGGGGCTTCTTCCTGGCTGCTGTTTTTCATATGTGTACTCACACTTTTGGAGATTAGATCAGTTAATGTCCAGTCAGAAGACAGAGACTACACTAGTCATTTGAAGAAGAAAAATTTAATAGAATTGTTAGCTGGTAACCTACTAAAAAGGCTTTAGATGTAGCCACTGTAGAAAGCAGCTACTAAGCCCTAGTTGCTGAGGGAGAGTGAACAAAGAAAGAATTTAAAGGAGATTCAGACTTGTTTGGAAAGGATGTGACTGCTATTGGAACACGCAGTGAGTCTGGCTAAGAAGCTTGTCAGAGGGTGCAGGCCTCAGTAGAACAGTGAGAGTGGTCACTGGGTGAAGGGAAAGCTTGCCAGAAGGCACAGGCAAGTGCTGAATGGTCAGGATGACTGCTTAGTAAAGAACTTAACTTAGGAAAAGGTCATTGTGAGAACTGCTGCTGTCTTGGCAGAGAATCTTGCTGGAGGCTGCAAATCACAGCTGAATCATTAGGGCCAATTCTGTGATTGTGGAGAAACTTGCTGGAGGCTGGGGCTGGGGCTGGGGCTGCCGCTGTGGAGCAGGCTGCCAGACCCCTGCAAAAACCACACACTGGAAGACAGTCACCTTCTGTTTGGTCTGTGTAGTGTCTTTCCAGCACCCTCTATTGGCAAAACTTATTATCAGTCAGCTAGCAAAAGAAGTCTTGTAAGAGAGGTAATAAATACTAAACTGCACAATCTACCCCTTTGACTGATCAGCTTCTACATGCATTTTAACTTTACTACAACATCATAACTAACTTTATATTTCTACCCAAAGAGATGTAACTACCTTTGGTACAAATACAGTTCTCTCCCTTTTCTCCAGTGAGTGAAGACATACAATCCCAACAATCTTTATATCCATTATTGACTATATTACTTACTCTCAAATTTAGTTGACAGTCTTCAGTGGAACAGAAATAAAACCACACATCTGTAGTGAACTTATCTTCAACAAAGGTGCCAAAAACATAGTGGGGAAAGGATAATCTCTTCAATAAATGGTGCTAGGAAAGCTGGATAGCCATATGCAGAAGAATGAAACTGTACCCTTATCTCTAGCCATATACAAAAATAAAATCAAAATGGATTAAAGATTTAAATCTAAGACATGAAACTATCAAACTTCTAAAAGAAAACATTGGAGAAATGCTTCAGGATATTGGTTTGGGCAAGAACGTCTTGAGTAATACCCCCAAAGCACAGGCAGCCAAAGCAAAATTGGATAGATGGGATCACATCAAGCTAAAAAGCTTCATACAGGAAAGGAAACAATCAATAAAGTGAAGAGACAACCCACAGAATGGGGGAAAATATTTGTAAACTTACCCCTCTGACAAGGGACTAATAAGTAGAATATATAAAGAACTCTAAAAATGTATTAGGAAAAAAATCAAATAATTTGCCTAAAAAATGGTCAAAGGATTTGATTGGACATTTTTCAAAAGATATGCAAATGGCCAACATGTATATGAAAAAATGCATTATTAGTCATCTGAGAAATGTAAATCAAAACTACAAGGAGATATCTTACCCTAGTTAAAAATGGCTTTTATCCAAAAAACAGGAAATAATGAATGCTGGTGATGATGAGGAAAAAGGGGAACCCTTGTATACTATTGATGGGAATGTAAGTTAGTGCACCAACTATGGAGAACAGTATGGAGGTTCTTCAAAAAACTAAACATAGCCGGGCACAGTGGCTCACACCTGTAATCCTAAAACTCTGGGAGGCTAAAGCAGATGGATTGCCTGAGTTTAGGAGTTTGAGACCAACCTGAGCAAGAGTAAGACCCCAGCTCTACTAAAAAAAAAAAAAAGAAAAACTAGCAGGGCATTGTAGCAGGTGTCTGTAGTCCTAGCTACTCAGGAGGCTGAAGTAAGGGGATCACTGGAGCCCAAGAGTTTGAGGTTGTGAGCTTATGATGCCATGGCACTCTACTAAGGGGGGCAAAGTAAGACTCTGTCCCAAAAGGAAAAAAAGAAAGAAAGAAAGAAAGAAATTTAATGTTCATTCATTGAATTAATTCAGGCTCAGACATTCTTGAGACAGCACACAAAGTCATGCAACAATAATGAAGACAACTTAGCAAGACACTGCCACATGTTGACATGAACACAGCCATGAGACATTGATATACCAAGGTCATGAAACTGTACCAAGCTGTTTGAACAGTGCTGTTGACATGAACACAGCCATGAGACATTGATATACCAAGGTCATGAAACTGTACCAAGCTGTTTGAACAGTGCTATCGAGTACTGCACAGTGGCAAGTCTGCAAACTTAATTGTCATCCTTCATATAAGTATGTCTTCCTAGTTTAACTTACTACAGAGGGTGCCAAAAAAATTTATATACATTTTATGAAAGAAAAAGACAATATCAAAATTATATTCATTTGGCACCTCTTGTAATTGCAGAAGTCAAACATGGCTTGAGTATTAAAATTTTAATACAGTTTTTCCCTTTCTTAAAATTTCTGTACATTTTTTGTTATCCTCCTTATTTGCCTATTATCATTTTTTAAATCTTTTCTTCCTTCTCTTTCCCTTCCCTTTTCCCTTCCCTTTTCCCTTCCTCTTTCCCTTCCTCTTTCCCTTTCCCTTCCCTTCCCTTCCCCTTCCTCTTCTTCCCTTCCTCTTCCCTTCCTTTCTTATTCCCTTTCTTTCCTTCTTTCCTTCATTCCTTCCCTCTCTTCCTCCCTTTGGGGTATCACTGTATTATCCAGGCTGGAGTGCAGTGGCATGACCATAGCTCACTGCAGCTTCAAAATTCCTGGGTTCAGGCAACCCTTCTGCTTCAGCCTCCTGAGTATCTGAGACTAGAGATGTGCACCATTACATCTGACTTTTTTTTTTTTTTTTTTTTAGCATTTTAGAACATTTTTATGAAGACAACCTTATTTGTTAAATTACTGATTTGTCGGCTCAGCACCTGTAGCTCAAGCAGCTGAGGCGCCAGCCACATGCACCAGAGCTGGCAGGTTCAAATCCAGTCCAGGCCTGCTAAACAACAATGACAATTACAACCAAAAAAATAGCCACGCATTGTGGTGGGTGCCTGTAGTCCCAGCTATTTGGGAGCCTGAGGCAAGAGAATCGCTTAAGCCTAAGAAGTCAAGGTTGCTGTGAGCTGTGACACCATAGCACTCTACTGAGGGTGACATAGTAAGACTCTGTCTCAACAAAAAAATTGTTGACAGTCTCACTTTCTTGCCCTTGGTAGAGTGCTGTAGTATCACAGCTCACAGCAACCTCCAACTCCTGGGCTTAGGCAATTCTCCTGCCTCAGCCTCCTGAGCAGCTGGGACTACAGGCTCCCGCCATAACACCTGGCTATTTTTTTGTTGCAGTTTGGCTGAGGCCAGGTTTGAACCTACCATCCTCAGTATATGGGGCTGGTACCCTGCTCACTGAGCCATAGGCACCACCTAGAAATACTTTTTTAAAAATTTTGAAAGAAAATTACCTAATATATATTATCTTTTTCTTTTAGGTGGAAGGTGTTGCTGTTTTTCTCCTGATGGCAAAACTTTGGCTGTAGGTCTTAATGATGGAAGTTTCTTAATGGCAAATGCAGATACTCTGGAGGATCTTGTGTCTTTTCACCACAGAAAAGATGTTATTTCAGATATTCGATTTTCGCCTGGTAATATTCTACTGAAATTGTATTTGATTATTAACTGAGGTCTGTCAGTGAGCAAATGCATTAATGTGTAATTTTTATTAACTTACTTTATCTCAGAATTTTACATTTTGTCTAGGAGAGGCAGTGTGGTAAGAGGGAAAAGCCATATATTAGATAGGTACAATATCTGTCTTAGTGCTAATTGTCACTAAATGGTCTATGTGGCTTGGGCTGGGACACTTTTCTGGGCTTTAGTTTCCTCATTTGTAACATAAAAAGGGGTTTTTCATTATTTTCTTAATGCTTTTGAAATTGCATTGATTTTATTCCATCAATTCTCATATATTCACTACTACAAAATGTACTGTAATGTAGGACTGACTAATGTTAAGCCAAAATTTACTTAGGGTAAAATTTACTTATGGTTTAGTTTTATTTAGTTAATTAATTAATTTATTTTGAGACAAAGTCTCACTCTGTCACCCTGAGGTTGAGTGCCAGGGCCTCATCGGAGCTCATTGTAACTTCAAACTCTTAGGCTCAAGTGATCCTCATGCCTCAACTTCCCAAGTAGTTGGGACTACAGGTGCCTGCCACAACACTCAGCTAATTTTTCTGTTTAAGTAAAGATGGAGTCTTACTCTTGTTCAGGCTTATCTTGAACTCCTAAGCTCAAGTAATCCACCCATCTTGACCTTCTAGAGTTGCTAGGTTTATAGGTGTAAGCCACCTCCCTGGGCCAGTTTTATTTTATTTTTTTCTAAATTTAGAGAAGTTTTTTGATGTTAAATACAAAGTGTATCAAAATTACATTGTAGATAATTTTTGACATTTGACCTGCATTGAACTAATTTGTTACACTAAAGAAAATTTTGTTGATTATAATATACTTGAAAAATGTTATCATTTGTCATTAGAAACATCTCTCTTCTTATAATATAACTTATGAAACACCTACGATTTTTCAAAAAACTAACTAGTATAGTTAACCCAAGTTGCAGAGTATAAGAAATATTTCCTTACTGGTAGAATATGTCAAGCTAATATGTTTCTATTGTAGGTTCTGGGAAATACCTAGCTGTAGCATCCCATGATAGCTTCATAGATATATACAACGTTATGAGTAGTAAACGAGTCGGAATATGCAAAGGCGCTACCAGTTATATAACCCATATCGATTGGGATATTAGAGGTAAGGTAAGACTTTAAATGTTCTGATTTCATAAAAGTTTCATTTGATTTAGTCTAGCTATTTTTGAGTAACAAAAGTGATTCACCAGATGAGTTCAAAGAATTGTGAAAAACATTCTCAAAATTCTTTTTTACTACTTTATTTTACTTGTGAAGGTGAACACTGTAAACTTTAGGCTTTTCAATACTTCAGTGTCATTCAAATGTAGTACGGTAAGTATACATTGTTTAATTTATAAAATAATTGGAATATTATATAAATATTTACCATACAACTATTACATATATCCATAATAAATTAAAAAATTTTAATTTAAATTAAAAAATTGTTAGTCATGATGATGCCCTTGTTTTTTTTCTTTTTCTTTTTGAGAGAGACTCTCACTATGTCACCCCCTGGCATCACAGCTCGCAGCACCCTCAAACTCTTGGGCTTAAGGGATTTTCTTGCCTCAGCCTCCCAAGTAGCTGGGACTACTGGAGGTGGCCACAACTCCCAGCTATTTTTTTTGTTGTTGTTGTAGTTGCCACTGTTGTTCAGCAGGCCTACGCCAGGTTCAAACCCGCCAGCCTCAGTGTATGTGGCTGGCACCCTAGCCTCTGAGATACAGGTGCTGAGCCATGATACCCTGGTTTTTTTCAGATAAATCTGAAATTAAAAGTAACTTCAAATTTGGAAACTAGAAATGTTAATGAAGATTTTAAAGTCATCTTCCTCATTGTTTGATACAAAAATACGTAAAATTTTCTAAAAATAGTCATAATTATATACACAAAGAATAAAGTAGCTTTGCTTTTTAGCAGAATGCATGGCACATGACTAATAAGTTTGATAAATGTTAACTATTTTAAATGCCTTCTTTTTAAGGATTTTATTGTTTCATGTATTCAACTCTGTAAACTTAGTATTGTAAATTAAAAATTTTCCAAATATTGTTAAACAAGTATACTTCAAAAAAAAATTTCAAGGTGGTGCCTGTGGCTCAAAGGGGTAGGGCACCGGCCCCATATGCTGGAGGTGGTGGGTTCAAATCCAGCCCTGGCCAAAAAACTGCAAAAAAAAAAAAAATTTCATCTCAGAGCCCATAGCACATTGGTTATGGCACCAGCCACATACACCAAGGGAGCCAAGTTTGAACCTGGCCCAGGCCAGCTAAACAACAATGACAGCTGCAACCAAAAATAGCCAGGTGTTGTAGGGGGCGCCTGTAGTTCCAGCTACCCCGGGAAGCTGAGGCAAGAGAATTGCTTAAGCCCAAGAGGTTGCTGTGAGCTGTGACGTGACAGCACTCTACGGAGGTCAACATAGACTCTGTCTTAAAAAAAAAAATTGGGGGCAGCACCTGTGGCTCAAAGGAGTAGGGCACTGGCCCCATATGCCAGAGGTGGTGGGTTCAAACTCAGCCCCAGCCAAAAATGCAAAAAAAAAAAAAATTTCATTGTGTTATATGTATACTGAAGAATACTGTTCAGCCTTAAAAAAGATGGAGACTTGACATCTTTTGTTTCAACCTGGATGGAGTTGAAACACATTTTTCTTAAAAAGTATTGCAAGAATGGAGAAGCAAGTATCCAATGTACTCAACTAATACCCACATAAGAGAAAAACTCAATTCAATTCAAGTTGGAGGAGGGGGAGGAGGTGGGATGTTGGTGTCTCCCACCTAATGGGCACAAGTAAGGGTATATGGCATACCTCCTGGGTGCAGGACACAACTCTAACAGGGGCCTTACCTAACAAATGTAAACATTATAACCTAATGATTTGTACCCTCAGATTAATCTGAAATTTAAAAATTCCAACATTTGTTTCTGGGGGGGGGTTGTATATGCATAACAATAGAAATAGCTATGTATGTATACAGAAATTAAACTAATTATGAATTTAATTACTTAATTTTATATAATTTAAGAAAATAAAACACTTAATATATATTGACTATGGAGGAAAATAGTTTTTATATTTAAGCATAATTTTTCTCATAAAATTTAAATATACTAGTGGCATATATATTTATTTATATATTTTTATATGTGTATATATTTATTTTTTAATTTTTTTAAGGAAAGCTTTTACAGGTCAATACTGGTGCTAAAGAACAGTTATTCTTTGAAGCTCCTAGAGGGAAAAAGCAAACCATCCCCAGTGTGGAGGTAGGAAGATGGTGATGTTTGTGGTGTTGTTTATATAAGAATGGTTGGAAAACTGATTCCTACGTTCCATTGTTTAGTTATAGGGGAAGCTTGTTCTCACATTATGGGTGTTCTTGAGTGGATTTACATTTTTGGGCCAGAATACATAAAAGGGTTAAAGGAAGAGACAAAGTATTAAGAAAAGGAAGGGGGGCGGTGCCTGTGGCTCAGTGAGTAGGGTGCCAGCCCCAGATACCAAGGGTGGTGGGTTCAAACCTGGCCCCAGCCAAACTGCAACAAAAAAAATAGCTGGGCATTGTGGTGGGCACCTATAGTTCTAACTACTCAGGAGGCTGATGCAAGAGAATTGCCTAAGCCCAGGAGTTAGAGGTTGCTGTGAGCTGTGAAGCCACAGCACTCTACCGAGGGCAATAAAGTGAGACTCTGTCTCCACAAAAAAAAAAAAAAAAAAAGAAAGAAAAGGAATGAATCACTTGTATGTCTAGCTGTGCTCTAATTACTTTCCTCTCAGGAGAGAAATCATTGCAACAGCAAGTAGAAGTCATGCCATCTAAGATTGGAGACTGCTTGTCTGCATGTATTTGGAACTCATATTCCTAAGATTCCTATTTTTAAAAGCAAAATACGAAATTGGATGGTTTTCTTTGTGTGTCTGACAATATTAGCAATTTTTTTGGTTTGACCTAGGAAGAGAGGTTCACCAAATTTAACATTAAATTGGCTTAAGGCTCGGCGCCTATGGCTCAAGTGGCTAAGGCACCAGGCACGTACACCTAAGGTGGCGGGTTCGAATCCAGCCTGGGCCTGCCAAACAATAATGACAGCTGCAACCAGAAAAATAGCCGGGCGTTGTGGCGGGCGCCTGTGGTCCCAGCTACTAGGGAGGCTGAGGCAGGAGACTTGCTTGAGCCCAGGAGTTGGAGGTTGCTGTGAGCTGTAATGCCACGGCACTACCCAGGGGGACAGCTTGAGGCTCTGTCTCAAAAAAAAAAATTGGCTTAATAAAGGGAAAGAATATAAGTAACAGTTCTTAATTTCCAGTTGTTAGAAGACATGATTATCATAATGCATTAGTAGAAACTTGGACCCAAACTCTAAGAATGTTTCTTCATTATCTTAAAGGCAGAAACAGCCTTATTTATCACTGTCTGCTCAGCATCTAGAACACATGGTGGATACATAAGTACACCCTAAAGAAAATTTATGTTTAAATTTTTCTGCTGGAACTAATTAGATTCTGAGAAGCTACAAAACCAAGACAAGTAAAAATTTAACTCTTTTTTCATTAAAACTTTAATTTTACACATGTAATTACAAAGAAACGTGTTTATATTTTGGTTGTTAATTTTTTAGGTTTAGATATTACAGATTTACTGCATCATTTTTGTCTTTTTAGGTAGAGAAAATTGCTTGGGCATCATGGACAAGTGTTCTTGGTTTATGCTGTGAGGGGATTTGGCCAGTGATTGGAGAAGTCACAGATGTAACCTCTTCTTGCCTCAGCAGTGACAAAATGGTCCTCGCTACTGGGGATGATTTGGGATTTGTGAAGTTATTTAGATATCCTACTAAAGTATGTGTTTTTCTTTAATTTTTCTAATAATCGTAAGTTATGAAAAAGTTAAGGCAATGCTTTATCATAGCACCTCATTATTGTGAAATTAATGGTACATACATAACAGAAACATATGTATTGTGTAATACATGTATATCATGAAAGACTCAGAATTGTGGTTCATATTTATAAGTTTCATCTGGAAGTATTATAATTATGATCCCATGCATTAAGTTATAAATTATATTCTACAGTATTTTTCAAATATTGAATAATGTAAATAACCCTTTTTTAATTTTTATTTTTTTGAGACAGAGTCTCACTTTATCACCCTTGGCAGAGTGCTGTAGTATTACAGCTCACAGCAACCTCCAACTCCTGGGCCTAGGTGATTTTCCTGCCTCAGCCTCCTGAGCAGCCGGGACCATAGGCGCCGACCACAACAACGGCTATTTTTTTTTTGTTGCAGTTTGGCCAGGGCTGTGTTTGAACCCACCAGCACACCACCCACTGAGCCACAGGCCCTGCCTAAATAAGTATTTTTTGGGTTTTTGGGGGGGGGTTGAACCTCTCACCTCCAGTATATGGGGCCAGAACCCTACTCCTTTGAGCCACCGGAGCCACCCTGTAAATAACCCTTCTAAGAGAAACATTTCTTTTATCCCCAATATTAACTTAAATAATTTTGTTATTCTTTTGATTAAATATATACCATAAACAGTAAATATAAACTCCAAAGCTTATAATGTTTTAATCAATTTTAATACAAAATGTTATAACACCTATAAAATTAAAATAAACAATATTGATTTAATGTAATGAATGATTTTTTCATTGTTGTTGAAACCAAACAATATGGATTTTTTTTTTAACTCTTTGAGACAGAGTTTCACTTTATCACCCTCAGTAGAGGGCTGTGGCATCACAGCTCACAGCAACTTCAAATTCTTGGGCTCAAGCAATTCTCTTGCCTCAGCCTCCTAAGTAGCTAGGACTACAAGTGCCCACCACAGTGCCCAGCTATTTTCAGAGAAGAGGTCTCGCTTGGGCTCATGCTTGTCTCAGGCATTTCACCCACCTCAGCCTCCCAGAGTGTTAGGATTATAAGTGCAAGCCTCCGGGCCTGGCCTAACAACATGGATTCTTTGGATTTTCACATACGTGTGCTACTGTGCACTATTTGATTGCTTAATTCTTTTACCACTTTCCTGTATTTATATTACTACAAAACATTAGGCTTTTGCTTAGCACAGATATAAAATTCATGTATCAAGTCCACATACGTGTATTTCTTAAATGTCACAAATTAACTTCTATTAAGATGTTACAGTCTGGCACCAGCATGAATGTAAACATAAATAGGACACTGAGTCATATTAAGGTATTCAGTTCATGGTGATCTGAATAACTGCTGTTAATATTTTTAGTAGATCAGCATTGATATGAAAACACAGGTTTAAAAATTCTCATTGAAAATTCAGACACTCTAGGGCAGTGCCTGTGGCACAGTGAGTAGGGCACTGGCCCCATATACCAAGGGTGGTGGGTTCAAACCCGGCCTCAGCCGAACTGCAACCAAAAAATAGCCGGGCATCATAGCAGGTACCTGTAGTCCCAGCTACCCTGGAGGCGGAGCAAGAGAATCACTTGAGCCCAGGAGTTGGAGGTTGCGTGAGCTGTGTGACGTCATGGCACTCTACCAAGGGCCACAAAGTGAGACTCTGTCTCTATAAAAAAAAAAAACAAAGAAAATTCAGACACCCAGGCGGTGCCTGTGGCTCAGTGAGTAGGGCACTGGCCCCATATACCGAGAGTGGAGGGTTCAAGGCCAGCCCAGGCCAAACTGCAACAAAAAAATAGCTGGGTGTTGTGGCAGGCGCCTGTGGTCCCAGCTACTTGGGAGGCTGAGGCAAGAGAATTGCCTAAACCCAGGAGTTGGAGGTTGTTGTGAGCTGTGACACCACAGCAGTCTACTGAGGGCAATAAAATGAGACTCTGTCTCTAAAAAAAAAAAACCCAAAAAAGAAAATTCAGACACCCAAGAAAATGTTCCATAGATTGGTAAAATTTTAGTTGATAAGAGTGTGTCCCATTAAAATATTTAATAGAAACTCCCAGCGTTCCAGATGGTATAGATCCCTTAGAAACAGGCTCTAGGAAATTGATGTATGGATTCATTTTTCACCTCACTCTAGTGAGAACCACATAATCTTAGAAAAATTACCTTTTTAGTGTGCTTTGATGACAGATCTCCAACCATAGTTTTTTTTTTTTTTTTTTAAATGGCAGGGTCTCATTCTGTTGCCCATGGTGGAGTATAGTGGCATGATGATAGCTTACTGTAGCCTCAAACTTCTGGGTTCAAGTGCTTCTCCTACTTCAGCCTCCCAAGTAGCTGGGACTACAGTTGTGAACCACATGTAGGCATGAACCATGCCCCTGGCCAGTAAGGCTGTGTCAGAAATGGAATATGAACCTAATTCTTTTTTTTTTTTTTTCTTTTGGAGACAGAGCCTCAAGCTGTCCCCCTGGGTAGAGTGCCGTGGCATAACAGCTCACAGCAACCTCCAACTTCTAGGCTCAAGTGAGTCTCCTGCCTCAGCCTCCCAAGTAGCTGGGACCACAGGTGCCTGCCACAAGGCCCGGCTATTTGTTTTGGTTACAGCCGTCGTTGTTTTGGCAGGCCCGGGCTGGATTCGAACCTGCCACCGTAGGTGTATGTGGCTGGCGCCTTAGCCACTTGAGCGACAGGTGCCGAGCCAGAACCTAATTCTTATTAAGAGTCTTTATTCCCAGAGAATTCACTGATTTTGCCATCACTATGTTTTGTTTAGAACATCTATTGTTTTGACTGCTTATGATGCTTTGATCTGAAATTTACTTTTATAACTTGCTAATGCTAGTGTTCTAGATTTAAATTTGCCAAATATTTATAACATGAATTTTTCTTTATATTTAAAAGTAAAATAGGCTTGGCGCCTGTAGCTCAGTGCCTAGGGCGTCAGCCACATACACGGGAGCTGGTGGGTTCGAACCCAGCCTAGGCCTGCTAAACAAACAACAATGACAATTACAACAAAAAATAGCCAGGTGTTGTGCAGGCACCTATAGTCTCAGCTACTTGGGAGGCTGAACCAAGAGAATTGGTTAAGCCCAAGAGTTTGAGGTTGCTGTGAGCTGTGATACTACAGCCCTCTACAGAGGGTGACATAGTAAGACTCTGTCTCAAAAAAAAAAAAAAAAAGGAAGAAAAGTAAAATAGCCTAAGAACCATAGCAAGACCTTGTCTTTGCAAAAAATACAAAAATTAGCTAGGTGTGGTAGTATATATTTGTAGCCCCAGCTACTCAGGACGCTGAGGCAGGAGGATTGCTTGAACCCAGGAGTTTGAGGTTTCAGTGAGCTGTGATGACTCCACTGCACTCTAGCCCAGGCAACAGAGTGAGACACTGTCCCCAAAAAACAAAAAAGCAAAATACATTCCAATGTGTAGTGCTTATAAACAAAAACATTAATGAATTAAAATGAAAGATTTACATGGGCATTTGTGTATATGCACACATTTGTATATGTATATATACAATGTATATACTGAAGCAATTGATGATTTGTCTTTGTTTATATAGTTATGCCATGCATAGGCATTTGTATTCCTTCTCAGTTGTATTTATTTCCAATATAGTATATCTGCATAATCATTGTTTTTAATCCACACACACTATTCCATAGATATGTATACAGTATAATTAGCTATTATTACTTTATTGGACATTTTAGGTATTTAAATACTGTGGTATGTATTTTTTGCAGATGCAGCATTTTCTTAGCAAAGATCCCTAAAAGCAAGATGGATACATGAGAACATTTTTATGCTTTTAATGCACAATATCAAGTTGTTGTCCTAAAGAATTTTGCTGTATGATGTGTGAAACTAATAATTTTATTCTATACTCACTAGGTTTGGAAATTGCTATTTTTTGTTCTAGTGAGTTTCACTATTTTCTTATGATTCTTTACATGTTGCACTTGAAATGATATATTTCTAATCATATGCTAAGAAAAATAAAAGGAATTAAAAATTATAACTGAAAGTTTTCAGATAATAAAATTTCTGAAAAAGATTGTTTGAATTTATTTTCCTCTTTAGGGAAAATTTGGAAAGTTTAAGAGGTATATGGCCCATAGTACACATGTCACAAATGTTCGCTGGACTTATGATAACAGCATGTTGGTTACCCTAGGAGGTACAGATATGTCTTTAATGATATGGACAAATGAGATGGAGGGATATCGAGAAAAAAAGACTTGTGATAGTGAAGAGTCTGACATAGATTCTGAAGAAGATGGGGGTAAGTCAATTTATTATATTTTAATAAAATGAAAATTTAGTATAACTTATTTAAACTGTAGAAGTTATAACCAGTACTGGTAATGATAATGTTTGAAGAATTGTGGCATTAGTGGTTTTACTTTAGTTAATATCAAAATTGGTTTTGTGACTCAAGAATAGCATGTATTGATGACTTGAATATTCTTCATCTACAGATGAAAGATAATCATATTTTAAATAAGTACCACTAAAATAAATTTTATGTTATTGATCCTCATATTTTAAAATAATTTTGATTTTTTCCGTAATATATCAGCTCATTACGGAAAATACATTTTGTAATAAAAAATAAACATAGGGCGGTGCCTGTGGCTCAAAGGAGTAGGGTGCCAGCCCCATAT